CAACACTGATTTTTCAAACATCAGCACGATACAAAATCTCAAAACCCGCACTTGGGTTCCACAGAGCAAACCCTGGTCCTGTACAGCTGTGACCCCAAATCTCAAGTTCCAGCACAGCTTCTTGAACCCTCTTCCTCTCCAGTGGACCCCGAGCCCCTGCTGGAACCCTGCAGAGTAACCTCAGGTGCCTTTGGGAGCCCGTAACCTTGGCACAGTGGCCCTCAAAGGCTGGGGGCACCTTGTGTAGGTTAAGGGTGCAGAGAGACAAGAATTTATTCATGGTCTAACTCAAGAATTAGCAGTCTAAGAGTTGTTATTAGTCTAGCTGCAGGGATATTAACATTTTTATGCTGATGCAGAGTCCGATTCTCAATAATTCTGCAGCTAACACCGATGGATTGCAAACTTCCCTCCCCTGGTGTTCTGCTGACCCTTCCAGGGGCCCTCTGGGTGTTCAGGTGGAGGGTGCCAGTTGTTCTGAAGAAGAAGGTGGGAAGGGGTTGTTCTGGTGAATCATCCTCAGCGTTTCTGGTTCTTCTCCAAGAAGATTATAATGCTGATAACAGGCAGTTTCTTCCCTTTCTGAGAGGTAGCTGATTATTGATAATGCTAAAATGACTATGTTCTCATTCTCAAAGTGGGTTATTAGTTGTTTAGTACACTGTACATACTTATCAGTCTATTCTGAGAGAAGTACTGTAATTACCCAGCATTTGGGATGTAAATTTTACTGATTGAGTTGCTTAAATGAGAGTTTGTTAAAACAGCAATGATTTTCTTCTGAGGATTATTTTCTTAATAATTATTGGCCTGATCCAAACTATGCTTAAATGTTCTAAAAAGAGGGGAGAAAAATTAAAGCTGCATAGAGCAGGAAAAAAAAAAAATCAGGTGATACTGTGAATAGAATATATTTATCACATTAAATACATGGGAATATTTTTGATTTCATACTTTATTTCCACCATTATTACAGTATTCTTTATCTAACAAAAAGATACAGTTAAAACTCCTCCCTAATTTCTTCTCTTCAAAGAAATTCCACCCCAGGAACTTCATCAACATGTGGAGTATTTCCTCATGACAGTGTCATTTAGTGTGCAGAGAGGGGCATGCTGGTGAGAGCAAATGAGCTTATATGAGTGTCACCACTAATTGAGTTCTAATGTTGGAGTTCTTTAGCACAGAAGGAAAAGCAGCACTACAGCCAAGACTTTCCTATTAACATTTACAACATGAAGTGGCATTTGTGATACTAAAATCACAGTTCAACTGAGAAGGCACTATTTAGTTTTTGTGCTACATTTACAACTTCTATTAAAAATATATCAGTTATGGGTTCTGTCGATTTACTGCAGAACAACTTAATTTTACAAAAAGACAAGTGAACTACTATAATTTTGGTAGCTTTTTACAGTGACAGTCTTAAATAAGTGTTTACCGTAATCATAGACTGTAGCATTTGCATATTTTAATTGCTTTGCACATCATTCACTTGTTCCAGATAGAAAATACCTATTTTATAGGGTTCATGGCTTAAAATCAGTGGATTGAGTTGCTCTTCTCTTGTGCTGTTCATGCCTAAATCAACACTGTGCTGGTAACTAAACACAAGGAGTGCCTATGATTTAGAAAATCTGATATAATAAGCAGGAACATCAAATAACTGCACAGAGGAATTTGTCAGCTCTGGCAGGGTACACATGTCTCTCTGGTAACAGTTTATGGGAGATTCTGTCCTTTACAAGTCTTTCCATGAAACTAGAAGAGCTGATGCTTTTGATCTTGTAGTTCATCCCAGCCTCATCAATCTTAAAAACTTTTGCTTTTGGGGTTTTTTCATGGATAAAGCACATTCACCACTGTAGTCCTTACAAATGAGATGCTGTGGGACCGTTCTTATTGATTAGACACATTATCCTGCCATGAGCAGCCAAAAAGATCCTGCAAACTGTACAAAGATGTAAAATTCTGATAGGAGATAATCACAAAATATTGTGTGATGCAACATTTTTTTTGATTTCATTTGTTGCCATGATTGGCTGCATGATCAAAGGAATTAGTAGACTCTATGGACCACACCTGAACGAGGAAACAGTTGTTTAATACATGAGTTTTTGAAAAGAAAGAGAAGAATAGTGAATAAATAAAATAGAACTGAAGTTTCAGTAAGCTCAGAAGATCACTAGGTAAAATCTGGTGTCTAAGGGGAAAAGGGATTCTGGAAGTGTTGGCAGTTCCTTAAGGAAGAAATATTAAGACTAGCAAAAGCCATCCCAAAAAAGGAAGGCACAGGAAGATTAGTGACACACCAAGCTGGCTAAATAATGAATTCTTCAATGATTTCATCATGAAAAAGAAGCCTATAGAAAATAGAAAAAGAGTCAAAGTATTAAGAGTTTAAATATAAAAAAATAGCACAGAAATATAAGCAAACCATCAAAAGACCTGATACAGCTCACAAGGCACATAAAGAATAAAAGGCAGGACTCTGTAAGTATATTATTAATAAAAGAAAAATGAAGAAAAAGAGCTGATCTGCTCCTCAGATGAGAAGGAAAATAAATGACAGCTGATGTTTTTAGAAGGTCAGGGTGTTAATATCTCTTCTGCATCAGTTTTAACTATAAAGCTCTGCTGTGATAATTTTAAAGGAACTAACATTAGTGTCAAAGGAAAAAGAACTGGTGATAGTACAGGGAAAGATCAGACCAGGGACTTCTTTGTAAGTCAGATGCTTACACACCAGCTGATCTGGAAGAAATTCACTTAAACTGCTGGAGAGAATTGATTGAAGCTCTTTGAGTCATCAGAGGGGATCCTTGAAACAGAGATGGCTAAAGGTCCAAACAAGTGCAAAATGGAAGCATATTTAGCTATTTGAAGAAAGAGGAGAAAATGAGAGGCTGGGCTTATGAATTAGGTAGAACTAAGATGAAACAAACTTTTTATAAACGCACAAAAGCAGTGAGAACATCGATAGAACAGAATCATGAAAAAAATCACGTCAACACCACCATTTCCTCATCTTATACCACGTGTTTTATTGATATGTGTGAGGTATTAGATATTGTATATATCTTCATTTTTTTTTATAAAGCCTGTAACACATCTAGCAGCAGGATATTCTCATTAGAAGCTAAATATACTCTCTAGAAGAAATTGTTCTGAAGTACCTTAGAGAGTCATATCCAGGAAGTATTTTTCAGTGGCTCACTATCTAACTGGGGAGATTCACTGAGAGTGATGATGTAGAAAGTTAAGCGGGATATTAGGAAAAAATTCTTCAAGTTAAGTTTTACTGGAGAAATTGTCTCGGACTGTTACAGAATGCCAGCTCTCCTAGGAATAAATTAACCATACTTACCTCAGAAATAGTTTCAAGACAGTTGGTCTTTCCATGGGACAGAGAATAGTCTAGATTTTCTTTCAGAACTTTTCTTTATCTTTTAATGTTTGTACTCTAAATATACAATGCTCATCATTTTCCAAAAGAAAAAACCCACATCCTACTTTTATTTTCCCCATATAAATTATTCCCCATATTAATAAGATTGTTTAAATTCAGTATGCTTTAGTTTTGGTCTGAGCTCCGAGAAATTTCTGTGGCTCAAGCATACTTCTTAGTCTAAATTCAATTTGAAATTGAATTTCCTGTAATTGCTTATTCAGGGGCTTTGAAAAACAAATGGTATATGTACCCAGATCCATTTACAGGATTTCACAGCTTAAGTCATTGCTTTGTCCTTGAAACCTACTGCTTTGAACCTACAGTAATAATTAAAGAACAGTATTTAAAAATGTATGACTTTATATCATACCTTCCTAACAGTATTATACTTAATATTCTGATATCCCCTGCATTGGTATTTCAGATCTCCTTGAACTGTTCTTTCTGAAATGGGGGGGAAGGCCACTGTCTTTCTCCACTGCCCTTTAAACACAGACCAGTCTCTGATGATTCTAAACAAACAGGGCTGATCATGAGACTTCACATCTAGATGTGATTATCTCCACTCATTTATGTTGAGTATGTGTACAGAATTTAATTTGAGGAAGGACTTCTGTGATCTTCACTAATAAAATGGTGCTGGAAAATCCTGCCTCTCTAGGATTTCCTTCAGTACTGTTCTGTCACAGATGTGTGTGTCTCAAAGTATTGATCATTCATAAAATGGATGATGGGCCAGACATAAAGCAGGTGTGAGTTGTGTGTTTAATATCCCTTTCCTGTTCTCTCCTCCTTGCCCTCAAGGTAACAGGCAGCAAGGTGTGCCAGTAAATCTCCAACTGGAGTGAAACACTGAAATAATTGATATTTACAGTCTTGGATTATTTACAAACTGACATGATGTAACACAAACAATAATTTCCATGTCCCTTCGAGCTACGCAGTTTAAGCACAAACTCAGGGCTCAGCACTAACACAAATCACAGAATGGTTTATGGGCTAGAGGGACTCTAAAAATCACCCAGTTCTACCCCCTGCCATGGGCAGGGACACCTTCCACTAGCCCAGGCTGTTCCAAGCCCCATCCAACCTGGCCTTGGGCACTGCCAGGGATGGGGCAGCCACAGCTTCTCTGGGCAACCAGTTTTTTAAAAATATAGATCCATCAGATGCAGGTTCCATCTCCTTTCCACTGACACTTGTGTTGTTTCCTTTTCCACTCTGAGCTGCACTAACCAGGTCTACAGGAAGCTGATGGATTTTGTTCTTACCCAAATGAGGAGATACACCAAAACTCCAGGAATCACACTGACACGTGGTGATGCTGAAAAGCTTCTGCACATCATAATTATAGTGCTAAAAGCCATGGCTGCATATTACTAATATGTATTTAAGAGCATAGAATCATAGAATCATTGAGATTCTATGAAAAACCTCCAAGATCATCCAACCTGTGACTGATCCCACCTTGTCACCCAGCCCAGAGCACTGAGTGCCACATCCCAACGTGTTGTGAGGGACAGAAATGTGTTTGTCTGCTTTGCTCTAGGAAGAAGAGTGTCAGGTCTCCTCTTCCCCACTGGAGTTTCTATCCACAGATCCAAGTCAGGGTAAGGTCAGTCCTTTCATTCTAGAAATGATTTGATTTGAGGACTTTTATTAAATGCATTCTGAGTTCTCTCCTGGGAAGTGCTCTGATGTGCTTTCTTGTGTCTCAGGACAGGTGAGGTGTGAGCACAGTGATCTGTTCCCTGCAGCCTCACTGAAGTAGCTGCAATTCATAATAATCTTTATGTATCCATGAAAATCCTGGGTCCATTGCTGTACTCCTGAACCTGATGAGCCTGCCCTGAACACCTTCAACCTCACAGTGGGCATGATATACATCTCTGGAATTGTCTTGTCCATCTGCAGTCAGATATGTCCCTGTGGGCAGTAGAATAATTTGGGAGGATTATTCCTCAGAGGTCAGATAGCTGGAAATATGGAGCAAAGAGGCATTTTCAGTGAGGTTGCTCTGACAGTGGACACACTCCAGTAGTAATCAGGGTCAGGAAGGCAACAAATAAAAGCGGCAGAAAGGAAAAATTAAAGATCTGTCATGAAACAAGGAGGTAAGAGAAGATTTTTTATAAGTGGCTGAGTTGGTTTTCTCCTAATCAATGACATTAATTCGGCTGACTGAACTGTGACCAGGGACTCTGATTCAGCACCTCATCATCAAAAGTTCTCACAACCTGACACCTCCTCATTCCTGCTGCCAATTCACAGAGCTGCGAATCTGGAAACTTTTGCAGCAGATTCAAGTATCCTCCATACACAAACAACTTAGGAGCAATTTAAAGTGAATCACTTGATCTATAGCAATGTGAGAACCATGGCCAATTAGATTTAGCCTTCGGGACTGAAGAATGGACTGAGCTTTGAGAAGATCATAGAGCTCAGATACATGAAAACAAACAAGGATGCCGGTCAGGAATTGTCAAACTGACACTATGAACTCAAATTTTTTAATTTAAAAAATCCCTTTCATTACAAGTGCTTTTCTTACAGGAAAAGGCACCAAAGTTTTCCATAAGACACTTTTGAAATAGTGTAACTAGATTAAGGAAGAGCAGGTATCTTAAAATTGCTTTTTCTCAAAAGTGAGATAATGCTTTTATTCCTGAGGATACACTACAGTGCAATAATGTAGTACACAAAAGGCATGATGGAGAAAGCACTTACCTCTTGTTTTTGGGGGTAAGAGGTTGTGTAGTTCTTCTCTTGGCCCAAAAGTGGAATGTATGTTTCTTAAATGATGCTTTAGAATGATCTTTAAAAGCCAGGACTTGTTAACTAGTATCAACCAACCTTTGCTAGAACTGCCAGTTATCTTTCCTCTATATTTAGGGTAGATAATAGCTGTGGTACATGATTCATCATGCACAGCCTCCTTCATTATGCACACACGAATAAACTCAGATATGGTAAAAACTGAGATTAGTCTTTATGCCCTTTATTCTGAATACAAATCTCTTTGCATCGCTGACATTGAGGAATCCCAAAGTAATACAAATAAAGACAAACAGATATGAGTAGCACATTGTGAATCATGCATAATTAAAAGTTCAATTTTTCTTCAAGAACAGTGTCACATGAACGATCTTTCACACTTTTAGATGGTGTAAAAAGCTTCCAAAAAAAAAAAAGTGCCTTTTAATTTTTGTGCATTATTTAAATTGACATAATCCTTGAAGATGGAGCTGGTATTGCTGCTTGTTAGAGTTGCCAGCTTTGGTATGAAGGGTTCTGTTTTCAGTTGCTTATTCCTACAAATCTGCAAAGGACCTGCCAATATTTTTGCATGAAAATTCTGCTAGAGGACAATTCCCTAAAATCCCAAATTCCCTTCATAGTAGACAACTGGCAACACGGTGAAGTAATTTCCAAAGAGAAATGGTTATGAAAGGGTTTGGTTTATTGTACCAAAGAGAATCACAGGTTTTTTCTTTAAAAAGAGCCAAAAGTGGTTGTTTTAAAACTGGACGATGATCTTTGACAGAGGAAAGTTCTCACTGTTGGCACAGCTGCCTGGCTTGGAAAAATTGCACATTATTCAAGTTGCAATGGGGTCAAGCTGGACTATTTTTAGGGCCCAGCAATAACAACACAAAAAGACCTGTTCTCACTCTAATCCTGTTTAGAAACTGAGATGGAAACCAAGCCTTTTGAGTCTGTTTACACCCCTCTGAAACCCACTGGCTATTCATGACAGAACATAAGGCTTGATTACTAACAAGTTGTGTGTCGCTGGTGAGACTTATAGGAGAATATTACATGTTAATATATTTCCCAGTTGTTAAAGAAATGCAGATTAAAGAGAAAAGAGACACAGAAATGCTTGGAGGCGAAGGGAAGATTTTAGTGAGAGACATAAAGCTCCATCTATTTAGGTAAGCAAAGGAACTATTAACTTGTCACGGTGAAGGTCTTCAAAACTGACCTGCAGTCCAGTGAATTAGGAACAGCTTCTTGGGAAGTGGACTTTTCTGAGGCAGATAGACTATATGGCTGATTACAGTAGCAAAAGTCTATCCCTCTGAAAAAACGGAACTATATTAATCTTCCTCCATTCAGATGATGCTGTTATGACATTTGCTCTGTTTTGCTTTTGATATCCTGGTAAAGAAAATAGAGCTGTTCATATTCAGAACCTCTTTTCCTTTAGTGGAGATTTTCTGCCTTAGTATATGGCTTTTCTCAACAAAGGACTGATGCATTTGAGGATTCTGTTTTATTTTTTTGTAACTGAAAGCTTTGACAAAAGTCTTGTAAGCAGCACAGTGAATACACATATTCACTTTCTAGCCTGACCCACAATTACATTTATAATAATCAATATCATAGAATCCCAAAATGGCCTAAGTTGGAAGGGGCCTTAAAGCTCATCCAGTCTCACCCCCTGCCATGGGCAGGGACACCTTCCACCAGCCCAGGTTGCTCCAAGCCCCATCCAACCTGGCCTTGGACACTTCCAGGGATCCAGGGGCAACCACAGCTTCTCTGGGCAACCTGTGCCAGGGCCTCCCCACCCTCACAGGGAGGAATTCCTTCCCAATATCCCATCTATCCCTGCCCTCTGTCAGTGTGAAGCCATTCCCCCTGTCCTGTCCCTCCAGGCCCTTGTCCATAGTCTCTCTCCATGCTCCTTGCAGGCCCCTTCAGGCACTGCAAGGCCACAATGGGGTCACCCCAAAGCTTCTCTTCTCCAGGCTGAACAATCCCAACTCTCCCAGCAGAGCTGCTCCATCCCTCTCATCCTCTTGGTGCCTCCTCTGGACTCTCTCCAGCAGCTCCATGTCCCTCCTGTGCTGTTCCCCAGGGCTGGAGCAGCTCTGCAGGGGGGTCTCACCTGAGGGGGCAGAGGGACAGAATCACCTCCCTCAGTCTCTGTAGAAATGCAAATGCACAAATCATCAGATGTATTTTATGGAATTGACTCTCAGATGATCTTGCAATAGTTTTCAAAGTGCAGAACACTTAATTCCTCACAGCTGGAACTCAGAATTCGGGCAACACTCTCTACTTGCAGTTTGAATTTTGCCTGCTCACGGCTGAACTTTGTGCACTTTGTGAACTTTGTTAATTGTAAGCTTTCTGCACACACTTGGAATATGCATTCCTGCATTTGGATTTATAAGGTATTTTGAAAGGGTTCTGTTTTAGAGGTTACAGTAAAATGCATAATCTAGCAGTTTCTGACAGATAAGAACTATATTTATCTTCCTCCTTACTCAGAAACACTTATTTTTCAGTAATTTTGCAGGAAGCTCCATCCATATCACATAAGTGACAGCACAAGATTTTTGGCTTGTCAGCTGCACACGCTTGTCTGGTTCAGAGTATGGTAAATTACTTTGCTCGGGACAGAATGCACAAAAAGTGTCAAACAGTCAATTAGAAGTACAACTAAAAATACTCACAAGCCTAGTTCTTGTAGGCTCAATTTCTCTGCCTAATAATACAATAAGTCTGTTGGTATTGACAGCTTCAAATAAGTTACCCTAAATTATAGCAATTTAGAGATTATTGTAGGAATTTAAAGCTTTTGTGTGTGTGTCTGTGAAAATTGCTTAAGTTTATTCAGAAACAACTTTTAGATAAACTAAAAGAAAATTGGCATAAGAATGTTGAGAGGGATCGACCAGAGGAGGCCACGGAGATGATTAGAGGATGGAGCAGCTCTGCTGGGAGGAAAGGCTGAGAGAGTTGGGATTGTCCAGCCTGGGGAAGAGAAGCTTTGGGGTCATCTTGCAGTGCCTGAAGGAGCCAGCAGGAAAGATGGAGAGAGACTCTTGACAAGGGCCTGGAGGGACAGGACGGGGGGAATGGCTTCACACTGACAGAGGGCAGGGTTAGATGGGATATTGGGAAGAATCTCTTGGCTGTGAGGGTGGTGAGACCTTGGCACAGGTTGCCCAGAGAAGCTGTGGCTGCCCCTGGATCCCTGGAAGTGTCCAAGGCCAGGTTGGAGGGGGTTTGGAGCAACCTGGGCTGGTGGAAGGTGCCCCTGCCCATGGCAGGGGCAGCATGAGATGATCTTTAGGGTCCCTTCCAGCCCAGGCCATTTTGTGATTCTATGATTCTCTGCTCCAGTGCTGCAAGCCAGGTGAATTTACACATATTTTTAATCAGTGTTTTCTTGCCCAGCTTTTAATTTTCTCCATTAAAATTGCCGATGTGACTGCAACCCACTTTCTTCTAAAATACTGGAACTGAAATGTTTACGTTGAGATTTCTCAAATACATATTTGTCAAAGGTCTAAGTTAAAGACATGGAACAAATAAGAGTGAGGATTGCTTTCCTCAGAAAAATTAATTAAAAGGCTGTGCTGATATGCTGAATTTAAATGGTAGTATCTGGAGGTTCAGTTGTGCCTTGAAAATGTCCTAAATTTAAACATGTGCTCACATTCACTGCATAGCAGAGTTTGGCCAACATGTTTAAAGCAAACCACTGACTTTATTTCTATTTTTTTTTAATTATTCTAAATTTGGATAGATATCGCTTTTCTTTTTCCTGATGCTACTTCTCTTTTATAACCAATAGTCTTTTTATCTTTGCCTTTTTGGTATCAATTCTTAAAATGTTTGTGCCTGTTTAATTTTTTGCACTGACGGTGTTGTGAGGACAGATATGTACATGCAAAAAATTTTCAAGTGGGAAAAAGAATCCAGTTTCTTAGTGAATCCGGGGAATTTTAGCTTGGCTATTAAAATTGGGACAGACACATAAAAATATCTGAACTTCTCTATTTATCAGCACTTTTCAAAGCACTCAAGCATTGCAGTCAGAGACAGTTACAGCCACTGGTTGCTGGGTCTACACAGGTATCATATTTGTAACCATTAGTATGCAGACAGGAGATGATTAAATGCACTTGTGATAAAATGTGACACCATATTATAAATGAGAATGGAAAATGAATTTATAACCATAAATCATGTATTAAAATATATGTGACAAGCTCAGACTGATGAAGACAATGCAGAAATAACAAATGCTGTATGTGTCAGTTTTATCATAAAAAATGTTTTCTTCTTGTAATGTTCTATTTTATGTCTTTTTTGTTGTTGTTGTTGTTTTTTAAATTCATATATCTCAGGGAAAAACAACAACAGAGGTGTGGCTATGGCACATCTGTTAACTCTTGGTGGAAATTAGTCAACATTCCTTCCTAACAAGACCATAAAATACATAAAATTCTTGTCCAGAAAATTTAACATAAATTGAACTGAATGATCTCTTTCACCGTAATAAGCACTTTTCCAAAGCTGTGCTGTAGAAATGTGAAGATTCCATCCAACTAATATAAAAACATTTACCTGACAAGCTGTAAGAGATTTTGTTGTCCACGGAGCTGTATTAGAGAGTCACAGAGTCACTGTCACGGAGCCTGAAGGGGACTTTTGAGGTCATACAGGTACATAAACCATCTCCTCATGGTTGGGCATAAAAGAGGACTTCTATGTCCAAAACCTGCTCAGTTTTCCTACTAACATGTATTTGCTAAAAGATTTATTAATGTTCTCCCTGAACTTGGGTGCTTGTTTAGAAGATACAGGCTGGGCAGACACATAAACCTCAGTTTATAAAATATTTTATGTGTAAACTTAGGGAATAGTGTTTTTCCTGGCTCAGAGTTTTTACCTTTATCGTTCCAAGCTTTAAATCCTGAAGTCTTTTTCCCATTTCTTGCCTTGAGCACTCTGTTTCACTCATTATTGATACTGCACATGCACAGTTAGTCCAGTGGGCTTAAGACTGTGTCAGATTTATCACATACATAGAAATCATTGGGATATATATTTTTAACTGATGTTCCATGGACTGGAGGCCTTTTGGAGGCTCCCAAAGTCTATTTAAACCTGCTGTTGAAATCTCAGAGAAATGTATGTTGCCTTCAAATTTTGCGTAGAAAGGGAAAGTACTTAAAAAAAAAGATCTTTATGTGAATTTAATCCTGAAATAATTGTCCTTAGAGAAAATCTTGGTCCTTAATTATCTTTAAACCCACAGTGTGGAAACTTTCATTAGATAATGATATCTACTGTATTTATACAATACAGTGCACCACTGTAAAGAAAAACTCCCTACACAGTGTTAAAGTGATTTCACATCTTTAATCTTATTTAACTATTTTTTACTATTTACTTGTATTTCTTTAATGTTTAAAGACACCAGTCAGGGTTGGGCAGGTGTGCATCAGGTGTTTCTATGAACATGGAGGAAAATGTTTTGACAGAACTCTTTTAAAGTTGTCCAGGCAGAGCAGAAAAAGCCCCCGTGGCAACGGGCACAAGAGATAAAGATGTTTGTCTGAGGGCACAGAGAAGGTTGGTGGGAGAGCTCGGAGCAGAACTCACCATATCTGACTTCCAACATTAGAGTCCCGATAAATAATTCATTTAATTTCTCTGGTTTTATCTGCTTGCAAAATTGTCCTGAGTGTGCTCTGACAGTCTCTGAGTCATTCTGTATTTATCCAGGAATCTGTTTTTTTGTAAAAAGCTCAAGGTAGTGTTTGATCGTGGCTGTCCAAAGTTCCAGATCCTAATTCCTGCTTCGTGGATCAGTTCTGTGGGAATGTGAGGCCTCATTTACAGTATTAAACCATCCCAAATTCAGTGGGGCTGAGGTGGGGTTGTGCAGAGGAGGAAATTATTGGGTTACTCAGAAAAATAAAAATTTATAGTTATGATTCAATGAAAGAAATCTTTTTGTTTCTTTCTTCTGGATAGTCAGGATAGCACTGGTTTTAAACTAATTTATCGGAATTTAGATAATAATACTTTTGAATTCCCGAATATATAAAATTTAGTTGAATAGCAAGTTTACAGACTCACTTTTGGAAACTATTTTTTCCTAGACACGTTCAGTCACTCAGTAATGAAAAAAAATTTTGATTGAAGTAAAATTTCTATTAAAATTCAAATGACTATTCATGGAAAATACTTTATTCATTCTACTCTGATATTTATGTATTCAACAGAAATATCTATGTGCCCAGACAGTCTGGACTAAATTTCCTAAGTGTATGACTGTAAATCTGGGGGGAAAAATGTGGTAAAATTTGGAAATTGCTTTCTCAATCTATAGCTTTGATCTTGTTTGCATTATGCCCTCCACCATTCTTTTCTTCTAGAAGAAAAAATATTCTGGTGATTGCAACAATTAAGCTCAGGGAAAAACTTCTGTTTATTTTAAAAAACATACAAAAACCCTAATTAACTGGATAATGTTAAATCTGATATAATTTCTGAAATAAGAATGAAAAGCAGGTGCGCAGGGTTGGAAATTTTCTGACTTAAGTGAAGCTCGTAGGTACAACATGGGGGTCTGGCCTTTGAAGTACTTTCTTAGCCAAGAGGAGGCCACTGATTTCTGCAGCTGGCATCTCTCCCTCAGCAAGGAAAAGAGTGCTTTCCTTCAGGGAAAGAAAATTCCAACCCTCTGACAGGAGGGGGGAGCTGGGGGGGGGTCGGGCTCTGCTCCCAGGGAACAAGGGACAGGAGGAGAGGGAACGGCCTCAGGCTGTGCCAGGGGAGGGTCAGGTTGGACATCAGGAGGAATTTCTCACTGGAAAAGGTGGTCAGGCCTTGGAAGGGGCTGCCCAGGGAGGTGGTGGAGTCCCCACCCTGGAGGTGTCCAAGGAAGGAGTGGAGGTGGCACTGAGTGCTCTGGGCTGGGGGACAAGGTGGGGATGGGGCACAGGGTGGACTCCATGGTCTTGGAGGGCTTTTCCAACCTCAATGATTCTGGAATTGGAATAATTCATTCCAGTATTTAACAACCTTTTGTGATGACCCACCAAACCCTTTCCATGAAGAAATTCCTCCTGATGTCCAACCTGAGCCTCCCCTGGCACAGCTGGAGGCCGTTCCCTCTCCTCCTGTCCCTTGTTCCCTGGGAGCAGAGCCCGACCCCCCCCCGGCTCCAACCTCCTTCCAGGGAATTTTAGGGATCCAGAAGGTCCCCCCTGAGCCTCCTTTTCCCGAGGGTGAGCCCCCCCCAGCTCCCTCAGCTGCTCCTCACAGGACTGACTCTCCAGACCCTTCCCCAGCTCCATTCCTTTCTCTGGACACGCTCCAGCCCCTCCATGTCCTTCGTGCATCGGGGGATCCAGAACTGAACACAGCACCCGAGGTGTGGCCTCAGCAGTGCAAACATACTCTGCTATCACCCGCAGTTTTTTGTGCATCACGTAACTGCAGCAGCATTTTGCGTTGAAGATGCTGTGATTTAGCAGCTGATGAGCACATTTTATATTGCAGAGAGGTATTTCTTTTGAAGGTAGCCTTGGTAACCACAGTGAGTGTCACGACAGATAACTGTCATCCTTAATTGTTCCGATGATACTGTGACCACTACTTACCAAAAATAAAATTACACATTTTGTGTATAATTGTTAAAGAAATTGAAACAGAAATGGTATACAATTAGAGAGCAGGAATTGTTAAGTGAACTATATGTGCTCATTATCTACAGTGTCATTATTTTGTAGTCAAAAATATACATTAGCTCTGATGACAGTGTGATGTTTTCAGGCAAATATTATTGTGCTGTTAATAAGATAAATTCTTTCAGAATAGCCTCGAAGACACCTTGATGCTGTGTGTCACATTTCAGAATATACATAGCTTACTTTCCACAGTAAATGAACTAGTCATTTTACTCACATCTGTATATTTTATCACCTCTTCCCCCGTTGTGATCAGTAGCAATTCAAACATAAAACTTAAATATATACATGAGGTAGGAATGTCTCAATATGCCTTCACACAAAGAGAATAAGAATTTTTGTCATCAGCAGTGGCTCAGGTTATTAATTTTGAGACCAGAACCTTGACTACTGTGGTGATATTTGTTATCTCCTTCAGCCTTCCTTCTGTTGTGTATTTTGTAGATCTGTGCATGGACCCTGCACAAGGATGACATATAAATTTGTGAAGACTTTCATGGTTTTGGGGTATTTGTCTCTTCTCCCAAGTAACAAGAGGCAGGATGAGAAGAAATGGCCTCAAGTTGCAGCAGAGAAGGTTTGGGTTGTGTATTAGGAAAAATGTCTTCACAGAAATGGTTGGCAAACATTGGAACAGGCTGCCCAGGGCAGTGGTGGAATCTCCATTCCTGGAGGGATTTAAAAACATGAAAATGTGGACTTGAAGACATGGGTTAATGGTGGCCTTGGCAGCACTGGGTTGGATTGGACTCAATAATCTAAAAGGTCTTTTCTAACCTAAACAGTTTTATGGTTCCATGATTCTCATACACCCAGTGTGTTTGGGCACATTAAAACCAATTTAAATACACTGATAAACAATCACAAAGATGCTCAGAGGGCTGGAACCTCTGCCCTGTGAAAACACGCTGAGAGACTTGGGGCTGTTCAGCCTTAAGAAGGATTCAGAGAGACCTTATAGCTCCTTCCAGTACATAGAAGGGGCTTCCAAAAAGTCTGGAGCAGGACTTTATCCCAAGGCATGTAGTGAAAGGACAAGGGGGAATGGCTTCAAACTGACAGAGAGTAGGGTTAGATGAGATATTAGGAAGAAATTGTTCCCTTTGAGGGCAGTGAGGCCCTGGCACAGGTTACCCAGAGAAACTGTGGCTACCCCTGGATCCCTGGAAGTGTCCAAGGCCAGGTTGGACGGGGCTTGGAGCAACCTGGGCTGGTGGAAGGTGTCCCTGCCCATGGCAGGGGGTGGGACTGGATGAGCTTTGAGGTCCCTTCCAATCCAAACCACTCTATAATATGATTATTCTACCAATTCTTTTTTTAAAGCCTTTAATGCACTGTGATAGAACCCTTTTTGCAGATTGCTGCTTTTGTTTCCAATTTTTTTTGTGAGCAGAGAGAATTTACTTTCATTGCAAACGATATTTTCCAGTGTATTTACAAGCAAGAAACACCCCACCCTTTCTCAGGTGTAGTTAATGCTTTATCAGGTTTAATGCAGCTTCTCACAAACATCTAAATAGATGCCACTTTTTCAGCACAAATATGTACTTTGGGTGTCAGTAAGGTATACAAGAAATGAACATAATATTAATATAATGAATAATAATGGATAAATAATAGATAAAATAGGAGCTGAAATACTACAAGGATAGACTCTCCAAATTCAAGAGATCAAGATACACAGTTTAATTTTAGCTTTGTTTCTTCTTCAACTAAATAAATTTTAACTTAGTTTAAATCAATAAAGCTAAGGATAATTTAATGAAAAGACACAAATTGTATTTTCTGTTTTCTTCAAAATAAATTAATTCACAGCGTACTTTATCTTGTTTAAAACTCAGCCCTAGAGATACCAAATAAGATTTTTTTAATGTGGAAAAATAAACTCAGTGCAGTGGAGAGGAATTTAACAACATTGATAAATAAAAATCTAAACATCAATACTTGTTAGCGTTCCTTTAACTGCACTTTTCTCCAATTTAATGAAAATCTTACACTATTTCTTAACACTAGAGCACTATTGATTATAAAATATTATCATTTGCTGTGAAAGCCCAGTTTATACAAATATGTAAACATACAACTACGAAAAAACCAAACAAACAGCTAAGTAAATTCCAGCAAAGATAGTAATTTCACAGGACTTAATCCAAACCAATAACCTGTACTGAAGCTTGGACATGTCTTGAAAATCTTGACTAACAACTGTGTTTGTACTGTTAGAGTGACATCAATTCAGTTGTTGATCTGTCTTCCTGTAAACACTTATCTTTGAGAAAACTATTAGGTGATTAATTCATAGAATCACAGAATGCTTTGGGTTGGAAGGGACTTTAAAGCCCATCCAGTTCCACCCCTGCCCTGGGCAGGGACACCTTCCACCAGCCCAGGTTGCTCCAAGCCCCATCCAACCTGGCCTTGGACACTTCCAGGGATGGGGCAGCCACAGCTTCTCTGGGCAACCTGTGCCAGGGCCTCCCCACCCTCACAGGGAACAATTTCTTCCCAATATCCCATCTATCCCTGCCCTCTGTCAGTTTGAAGCCATCTCCCCTCATCCTGTCACTCCAGACCCTTGTAAACTGTCTCTCTCCACCTGCCCTGTAGCCCCTTCAGATCCTGGAAGGGGCTCTGAGGTCTCCACACAACATTCTCTTCTCCAGGCTGAACAATCCCAACTCTCCCATCCTGCCTCCAGTCCCCTCATCAACTCTGTGGCCTCCTCTGGACTTGAACTCTGCTGACTTCTGAAAGAATTCATGCCATTACAAAAGCCTCAGCCATGGCTGAGGAAAATCTGTTTCCTCTTGCCTAAATCATGGCTCTAACAGCAGCATATTCCAGTTAATTCATGCTCGAGGTGTATAAAAAGTGGTAAGAAATCTCACGTGAGGAATGCTTAGGCTTCTGCAAGAAGATACATGGATTTCTGTGCACAGCTGAAGGATGGAGATGTGTCAGATCTAAGTGCCAAGATAAAGAATATCCTACAAGTGCCATGATTACTTGTGCTCCTCTGGAATGAATACTGTGAGGCCACAGGACACTTATTAATACACATTTTTGCTTAGGCTAGTGGTGGCTGGTGTGCAGCCTTCACCTAACACCCCAAAAGAGATTTGCTTTAATTATCATATTTTGGACTTAGTGCTCGGATCCTGGCCGTGATCATGTCCTGTTTGATGCAAGACATTAAACATTTTTGTGTTGATGGATGGGGTTTGTCATAATTTTAAGGGAAATCCGTTTTGAAAATATTATTCAAAAATTTAAAACTTTCCAGATAAGGTGCAGGCTGAATGGATTATGATCCACTTATGCAGAAAGATTAGCCAAAAGGGTTTCTGGCTGTCTGATTTTCATATGACCTACTGAGGACACTCTGAGCCTATTGAACTCCAGCTGTATCCAAGCAAACCTGCCCCCAGCAGAACTAGAAGGAAAACCTGAAGCTGTGATGTTACAAAAGGCAAACATCATTACTATTGCTATGCAGAAATAAAGTGACAAACTATGGCAAAAATTCAGACTAGAAAAAATTGTACTTTTTATTTTATTGTGCTAGGAAAAAAAAACAAACAAAAGAATGTGGGAATAAACTATATTTGGGGAAGAGATGGGTGGGAAGAGAAGGGATTTGACTAAGAAGGTCACTGGAGGAGGGTGCTGAGTTGCTGGTGATGCTATCAGAGCTTCTCTCCCTGGTTGTCTGTAAAAAAAAAATCTGTAGAAAACCTGAAAATTAAAGCAGTGAAGTATCAGCATTGACTGGACACAGTCAAGGGCAGTTTCTTTCTTAGTGAAAGTGTAAAAGGCTTGAAGAGGGAAATGTGGTTAGCCCTGCAATCAATTTGCCACCTCTTTCTCCTGATTCTCTTAGCTCTGTTACAAAATATTCTGGAATATTTCAGATTTTAGGATAAAATTCAAATGTGTCTTGTTATTGTTAAAACTTTGTATGAATTATAGAAGTATATTCCAGGCTTTGGACTGCTCAGCTTATGTAAAAAGGGAGAGGCAGCTTTGACAAAAGCAGTGCTTTAATTTCTCTGACTAATGTTATACATAAGGAATTCCACTAAATTCTGTGGACATACCCAAACTTTCCAAGTTACTTATATGCACATGATTTTTCATGTCACAAGGAACTGTGGAAATGCAAGTTCTATCCTGTATTCCTGCTGAGGACTGGAATAGAGGAGCATGATGAAATGTATGAAATACTGACTTAATTCCCTGAAAATTTGTCCTTTCCATCATTTCTGCAGTTTTAGATAAAGAATAACATTGCTGGAATAGAGCATTTGCATTTTGTGCCAGGCTTACTTTATATCACTTTGGAAAATATCACAATGAATCCTATGGAAACATTATTAGAAAACAATGCTTTATTAAGGCTCCATGGTCTCTCTGGTTAGCAGCTCCTATATCTTCCAATAACAAGTATCAACATCATTTTTTAATGTATTTTACTTTGCATTTTTGACATTGCAAAAGTAACTTCACAAATTAAGCCATTATTTTAAAATTTGCATGGAAATGTCTGTTTGCTGGTGACTTTCATAAAAGTTTAATGAAACTGGAGCTATTAGGTTCAGTTTTTTTCTTCTGGAAAGCACTCTGGTTGTTGGAACACACGGTATGTTTACATTCTATGTTGCCCCAGACTATCAATTAGTTAACATGCTTATGAGATTGTCCATTTAAAACAACATTTTTACACTACATACAGCCTTGTAAATCACAGGATGCTGACAGCATGAAATGCCAGCTGTGAAATGAGGAACTGATGAAAACGCAGTAATTCTGAATTTTAATATAATATAAATCATGTCAGCAATATTTGTGAATAGCAGCTGTCAAGATTTCATTTGAACTGCATGCATTATGGTATTTTTATATTCTGTTCTTTTCTGATAATTTAGACCTTCCTCTGCCCCCTCCCAACCTTTGCAACCTTTGCAAGGATGGAAATTCCTACAAAAATTTTGACTGAATGGCGTGAAATGGATTGTCACAACATTAAAACAGAAAGAATAATGGCTTCACACTGACAGAGGGCAGGGTTAGATGGGATATTGGGAAGAAATTGTTCCCTGTGAGGGTGGGGAGGCCCTGGCACAGGTTGCCCAGAGAAGCTGTGGCTGCCCCATCCCTGGAAGTGTCCAAGGCCAGGTTGGAGGGGGCTTGGAGCAACCTGGGCTAGTGGAAGGTGTCCCTGCCCACAGAAGGGCTTGGAATGAGATGATCTTTGAGGTCTCTGGCCACCCAAAACAATCTATGATTCTGTGATTTAAATTGCGTTCAAAAATACCACATTAATAACACTGGTACGATTTATTTTAAAAACTGGATATTTTTGAAAAGTCTGCTTCATTGAAAGGTGCCATGGGAACACAAGAAGTGATGGAGAATTCTACCCAGCAGATTGTCATCTTCACGTTTTGTCATGCAAAGAAATCCAGTAGGTTTGAATGGTTCTTTGCTGGGGTGGTTTAGATATGGAAGGAGTTGCAGGCTCAGATCACCAGTGTGTGCAATCCTGTATCTGGGCACTGCCTTGCAGCACCCTTTGCTTACTGGGAAGATGGAAAGCAGGCTGGAATGCCTAAAAGGAACAACTGTTTCCTGAGCTTTTTGTTACTGTGTATCCATCTGAAGCAAAAGAATTTGTCCCTGACAGCGAAAAACCTCTGTTTTCTTGTCTGTTCTCTGAAGTCTGATTTTTGTTCCCATCATCACCTGAGGCATCAGGAAAAATCAGGAAATGCTGCTGTGCTGGAATGTGCTCTGAAATGCTGGTGTTCGGTGAGTGATACAATCACAGCTAAATGAGTTGCCTCTAGGATAAAGAATTCAGATGCCTGTCAGTGGAAGTGACCCGATTTGTACTGAGTTTCAGGAAGACGGAATTGAATTGCTGACATAATTTAATACGATTTGCTTCAAAAATCAATGTCTTAAATCATTTAACCCTATTCTTCGAACAGCAGCAAACAAACAGTATTAAACAGTTGCACCACAAAGGTGTGAGATGCAGATTTTCCTACAGACAGCCCCAGCTTTCGCTTCCTAAAACTGGAAAATGCAGCGGTGAGGAAGCCGTGTGCCTTCAGAGAAGGGGGCAGGTAACATTTCAGCTCCTGCTTTGATTTCCCAATCAGTGTCACTTGGCCTTTCCAGCGTTTAGGTTGGGTAATTAATTTCCATGGAAGGCTTGATTTGTTGTAAACACTGTGTAGGCACAGGTGCTGCTCAGTGGTTCAGGGACCTCACCTGCCAATCAGTGGGGCTCAGTGACTGGCATTCTGTTCCTCAGCTTCTGTCTGACGTAGAAATAAATATGTAAAAGAAATGTAATCAAGAATTCTTTCCCGAGGAAGCCACCATGTTTCACTCAGCAGCACGATTTCATGCTCAACTGCCAGTGATTGTGGTGAAACCCAGAGGGCAATCACGAGAGTTAGAGAACTGTAATGTGAAGGAAAAACCTTCTGCATTTCCCAACATACAGCCTGGATAGAGCAAAAGGGAAATTTGGCAAAAACAAACGTCAATTGAAGATAATGAAGCATAAATCCACTTTATAGGGGTAAATAAACTTGATAGAGAAATTAATAAATGGCTTTTCAAAACATAAATACTTACAAAAGCTGTTCCTGGAGTAAAGAAAAAGGCCAGTGTTTGCAGACATCAAGAGAAAAAGAAGAGAAGAGAAAAGAGAAGAGAAAAGAGAAGAGAAAAGAGAAGAGAAGAGAAGAGAAGAGAAGAGAAGAGAAGAGAAGAGAAGAGAAGAG